TATAAAACTTCATGATGATAAGTAAAAACAAAAAGGTTTCCTTGGCCATTTACTGTTGGACCATAATTTGTGGTGTTAGAAAAATGTTTTGTTTTGCTAATTCACTATGTCACCTGCCATTTTTTCCATACTACCCAGTCTAAAGTTGGTGAAATTGAAGCAAAGTGACTTTGTACTGTCAGTGGGAGAACTAGAGCTCAATATATTCCCTGTTATTAGCTCATTCTTAATTCATGACCACCACATTTCCTCTGATAAATCATACTGGGCTTAAAAAATGTAAAATCAGATCGGCTTTACTGAAACCTAATAATGTGTTATGTTGGGAATAGTGATAATTTGTCCTGATTATTTGTCTTAAGCATCAGATACAGGTTTCTAAAAAAGTTTTAAGTATAGATAAGAAAATATGAATCAGTGGGATAAAATTTAACCAAAAGCTTACAAGTTTATTAAATTTGAGAGTTTTTAAAATGAAATCATTTATGTATTATAATCTTGCTTTATTTATTGACCATTTATCCTGTTCCCCATATAACAGAATAAAGCATTCTCACTTGCCAAATACATTTTCATTTAATGCCACACATTTCATCCACCATGCCCACCCTGTAAATTAAAAGCAATGGCAACATCAAAGTAACATCAAAGATTTAATTTGGGTTGACAGGTATCAAATTGAACTATAAATTTTGTGAGACTCATACTACTATTTAAATGTGAAGCATCACCAAACCTTGACAGACAGGGATGACTTTTAAGAATTGCCCCCAGATCAGGTTGCTAAACAGATCCTGGGAAAGTCGATCCTGTTTGACAGCCACTTTTTCTGGACTGAAGGTGAAGGTCACTTAAGAGAAGGGTACTGGGATGTGATCAGAGCCAAACCACACAAAAGCCTGGCAGTGGTCTGATGCACACAGGCTGGAAGCCTTTGCATATAAGGTGTTAAGAAATAAACAGGCAGGAGAGCATGGAGCACTGGACGCAGATTGCAGTGCTGTTTAAACCAGAGGAGATTGTGTGGGCCCATAGTAAGCTGCAGTGATTACCCATCCAGGAACTAAATTGACCAAAGGTCCTGAACTAGATTTGGCTCCTTAATAAGGATATTTATAAAGCATTTATAATATATACAATAAAGGTAGTAATTTTAAATTATTAATAAATAATAAACTGTAGCATTCTCCTGATAAACTTATTCTCCTAAATGTGACCAGCCTTTTCATTTGAAGTCCTTTGTTTATTTAATGTGAACAATATGTAAAATGATGTGAATGCTCCTAATTCTCAATGATCCTGCTAGAGTTAATATAGTATCTAAAATACAGATTTACTTAGGAGCCTTAATAACCATATGTCAATAACTGACCTTTGTTATAGATAATCTGTGACTATAATTTGAAAGATTTCTGTGAGAGATGGTAGAAGACCACTTTTAAAGCTCTGGGAAGTAGCCCGCCAAGTCCTGTAGGATATGTCTGCACTGGTCTCTTGCCCACATTTCCTAGAGCACCACATTCAGCCTTTTTGTCTTAGTTTTGATACTTTTTAAACATAATATCATTATTCTGAATTTTGCTTTCTTGTGACAAAAATAGTAGAAACAGAAATACATCCTTTGTGGTAACAGACCTTCGCGATACCTACTTGAGTCAAACCCTGTGCTGGCAGCTATGGAGGGGTATAGTGATGTGTTCTTCCACTTCATTAGAATTTGGAGACCTTCTTAGCTTTTATTAATAATTTAAAATTAATAACTTTATTGTATATATTATAAATGCTTTATGAAACATATACATGATAATTCATATTTCTAGCTATTTTAGATGGAACACAACTGTTTGGCTCTAACTAAAAGAAAGAATTGTCCCAAATGGAGTGTAGGAGGTTTGCCCTCAATGTTTTATTTCTTGCAGCAGTTAGTGGTTAAATAGTTGTCCACTTTATAGTAATTTGCTAAACTGTTCATATATGCATGTCATATTATTTTCTGGAGGTCTGTTATAATTTACAATGAAAAAGAAATGGGGAAAAAGATTTCTCCAAGTTCAGAATATCTCCTGAAGCAGTGCCTGGAATTCCGTTGTGATCAGCTAATTTTACCATGTTAATATTTGGCTGCTTCTTTACCTTTTTAGAATGGAACTCTTTGGTGGCCAGTAATACACGAAGACAGGAGCCCTTTAGTGTGATCATTTGTCAGAGCCCCTCTTCTCTCTAGCCCCAAAATCTGAGCTAGCATAGAAGGGATTACTCTGAAAGGTGGTATGATGAGGGAGGAAGAGCTTGGAAAAGGAAACAGTAGTGTGCCTCAGCAAAATGCAGAGTCAGTAACCTAAATAATGCATAATCTATCTTTATTTGGCAGATTTCAATAACCGACACATATCCTAGCTTTACTGAATTCCTTAGCTTTCTTCCCAAATGGTAGTATGATAAAATCTCACTAATTTGACCTAATTAAGATGATGGCTAAAATACAGTGTTTAAAAAGTATAGTTATTTTAAGTACACATTTAGTAACATAAAGAAAGCTAATAAGTACATATTTCCTAATTAGGGCTTTTAAAGAAACCTACATCCATGAATAGAAGAGAGTAATTTATATTTAGCATATGATGTTATATGAGAGGATACTTCAGAGGTGCTCCCTGTTAAGTTAATGGTTGTAAGCAGCTTTTCCTCCTGTGGTTTGTTTTCCTGGGAAAGCATTAAACCCTGGGCTTGTCCAGTTCACAAGAAAAGAATAGTCAGCCTAAAGAGATGAGAACTGGAGCAGACCTGGGCTTATTCGTCAGCTAGTTACACAGGCTTTGGCTGCCAGGAAGTTCACCTGCCCTCAGTGCTTCTTGGACTGGTGTTCCTGGTCCTGGGTGTTCGTCTCCCTGCCATGATCCCTCCTTCCCCCAACCTGAAGAAAAAGCCCTGGGTACAGGAAGACCCCTGCATTTATAGTATAAATTAATAATACCTGCTGAGAACAATGCCACATTTTTAAGAAGTTTGTTAGGAACAATTGTCAATGTTGGGGCACACCTACTGTCTGGAGCACAAATGAATTAATCCCTCTTGCCCCTGCCCCTCCCCCTGGGCATACTACATAGGGTTTACATTTGAGAAGCACTCCATCTCAAATCTGTGCCTGCATTTTGGGAATCTGCTCTTGCAGATTATTATTAATGGTTATGGCAAAATAGCCTGTGAAGATTCACTGCCACTATCTACATGGGGTAGTTCAAGGGAATTGGTTGTGTCCCATTTTCCATACCCGGGGCCTTTGGGAACTTTCACCAGTGTTGTTTTTTTCTAATGCCTGGATTCTGAATGTTTCTCCGACATGAGCTTACTTCTAATGCCATACCTATCTTCAGGCTTACCTTTCCATTTCAGGATTCCAAAATAGGAACAAAATCCAGATACTGAATCCAGGTCAAATTCCTTATGGTAATAGTTTTTGGAGCCCTTATTTGAAACCACTGTTTTTTGTCTGTCCAGGATGTATTCATTAATGTTGACCTTTCCTGATGAGTAGCCAGACATGCCTCCCAGTGTTCTGAAGGAAACTGCCATCTTTGGGGTCCTCAGATATTTCTCTTGCTGTCTCTCAGTGTTGGTTGGCTTTAAGAGAAAGAATTCTTTGCTTAGTTGGCTATTAAATGTGTTCATTGGACTTTCTTTTATCTTCTACAGAATCTGTCTCTGATGGGCCCTTAATTGAGACTGACTTTTGAGCTGCTTGAGAGTGGGGCACAGGGGTGCGCAGACGGCCAAGTTCTGTGGTGGACTAGAGCTAAGTCTCTGGAGCCAGACTGCTGGGTTTCTAAGACTCAGGAGCTCTGGGACCTTGGGAAAGGCTTGGTGTTCTTACTTTTAAAATGGGGGATGATATTAGCATCTACCTAATGGGGTTATTTTGAGGATTATATGGATAAATAGATGTGAAGTGCTTGGGATAGCACTAGACACAAAGTAAGTATTCAGTGAATTAACTCTCTTATAGTATTACTAATGTATCTCATGCCTTAAACTGTCAGTGATTGGTGGGGATCACACTTTGGGTTGAAGGACTTCAACTGTGGACCTTACCCTTGCAGGATGCTTCTCTGAGGAAGACATGCCTGCATGCTACACAGAGAGCAAGAGAACGGGGCCTTGGGGCATCTCCTCTGTTTCCCGTACTTTCCAGGGTGGGGTGCACACCACTTAGCACAGTCATCATAGGTGCCCGCACCCCTGCAAACTTCTCAGCCTCTGTCCTGAGAATGGGGCTCATACTTCCTGGATGGGCTTCATCATTTCACTTACCGTTTTTTGGATCCTGATTTCCAACATTATGTCTGCTGGGGGCTCCCTCTGCTGGCCCATCTAGCATGTATCACATCTGCGGAGTAACAGCTCTGAAGTTAGTTTCAGACTTTTAGGGATGTTTGCATAAAAATGCATTTGAAACTTTTTTTTTTTTTTTGTATGTGAGATACAAATCACATCTGTCTTACTTTTTTTTTTGCCGTTTGCATTATGAGTCAGAATATTTTCAGGTTTGAAAAAGCACATATATATTTTTGTTTGATTTAGGAAGGGGATAATCCACGGTAGGCCTAGACTTAGTAACTTCTTCACAACATAGTTATTAAGGATGGATTAGTATATCTTACTTTCCAATATATAGTACTAAATATCTTAGAATCTTATCTCAATAGTCTAAAGTAAACAATATCTATGATGTGGAGACTTAGCTAATTCTTGAAGTCTCAAAAGGTTCCATTTTAAAATGATGTCATGGCTTAGACCCCCTTGGATATTACGTTGAGGGTTTCGTACAGGTCAGAAAATAGTACCTTAGATTTATTGGATGATTCATTATTTATTTGGAATTATAATTTATCAAAATGTGCCCTGATATCCCTAAAATTGCATTTTATAACTTTTGTACTTCTTTGTGTTTTTCTGATCACTGTTTCCTTTCTTTTGTCTTTCTTTTCCCCTCTTGCTACTAGGCTCAAACAGCATAAATAGGGTAACTGCGAACATGGAAAATGGAGAAAACGAAGGAACAACTAAAATTATCGCCCCTTCACCAGTAAAAAGGTCAGTCAGTTACCTAAAACAACATACCACTATATGCTGTCACAAAAGTGCTTTTTCCTGTTGGCAAGGTTAAGAATCTTTTTACTTTGATAATTAACTGATACTTATGATCAAAATAGTCTATGAGCCAAAGAACTCTTTAAAATGCCAATGGAATATAAACCATCAGGACCTGCCTCTGTCATTGGAAGGCAATGCTCCTGCTGTCACAGACACACAAACTCACAGTCTGTGGTCTGCATTCTCTGTAGCAAAGTGAAAATGCCGTATGATTTTAAAATGGCGTTATATATTGGACTAAGTCAGAGGGACCTGTGAAATAAAGTAGATGATATTCAGGTTTAATGTACTGTGTTCATTACAGCGGTGCATTGAACTGTGGCCCCCTGGAAGGAGGGTTTAGAGGCCCAGGGCTGCAGAAGCCAGTGACTGCATATGCATGAAGTTACAGTGGGCCTCTGCGTCAGTGTTCCCAGCAGCATTCCCTGTGGAAAGACCCTCTCTTTATATATTACATGGATTGTTTCCCTGAAAGATCAGCCTTGTTCTCTCTTAAGACACTATTTTAGCGTCATTTTTTCCCATCTCCAATTTTGTTCCTGAAACAGCATTTTAGAAATACAATGAGCTGCTTTCATAGGCTTACTTTCTCCATAGAGATAGCTCTGTGTACATCATGGAGAAGTCCAAGCAGTTGGAAATACGTGAGCTTGAAAGACTTCTTAGATCATCTACTCCATCTTTTGTTAGCAAATATGGGGTTTCCATTCAGCTCGATTGTGATTACTTGGAGGAATATAGCTTATAATTCCCCAGAAAAATCATTCGAAGATATGAGGATTCTCACAGTTGTGGTATTTCCCCTAGGGTATTGCCTACATTTTCTTTTGCATAGTTCCAGGACATTCTTTTTACAGATTCTCTTTTTGGAATGACAAGGTTTTGCCTTTGCACACACTTCACTGTGCTTCCCTTAATCAGCCTCACAGCCAAGGACGGAGTCTGTTCGGTCTGTGTGTTTAGGGCAGGTTTATGGTAAGTCCAGCATAAGAACAGGAATCTTCCACGAAATTCAGACCCCAGGCCTTTACAGAATGTACAGAAGGAGGTTCAATCCCCTTTGCAACTGCATTCTTGCCAGTAGGACTGACACCTGAAGGACCACCAAATTTTTCCATGCAAGCTCCAGATGAAAAAAGGCCCAGGGAGTGAGTGCAGTTCATTTGCCACTCAGGTTTCACTGTTCTTTAATGTTGCCTGCTCTCTCTGTGCCCTTTCAGCTCCTGTTGCATTTCTCAGTCTCCCACTGCTCTTTCCACTATTTCTTTGATTTCTTAAGCATGCACACATTTTCTAGTCTTGTATTAAATACCTTCCATATTTATTACTTTTCCTGATTTGAGATGTAAGCTTTTACTTTGGGAATTTGATCTTTGAAAGATTTTTTAACCTGTATAAAAATAATGTATTATTCACATATAAAATATACCTATTATATACTAATACTTTGAGGCTTATATTGATTCCTATATAATGCTATAAACCTATATAGTATGCTAGGGTGCAAGTTCATTTTCTTCTTTTGAAATGACCGTGTCATTTTTTCTCTCTCTCTTCTGTGTTAGCTGTTAAAAAAGAATCCTGCTATGACCATGTTCAAGAATAATTATATAGAGGATGCCTCAAAAAGGCAGGGTTAAAAGTGGATTAGGAGTTAAGTAGCTCATCTTTTTCTCGGTCTGAGACTCCCCAGGAAGTGAGAGGTGACACATCTCCCCTTCCCCCACTGGTGACCCAAGTTTGCTGATGAGTCCCGTCCTCTGTGTCTCCCCATGTGTTTATAAAACAATTTGTTGGGATTGAATAACAACTCAGTTATATTTTCATTCTTAGGGCAGAAAGGTGATACCCAGTCAGGAACTAGCATTTGGGAGTTATTCTGATTTGGAAGAATGAAGCCAAGATATGGCGGAAGCTGGGGGCAGGGGAAGTCGGCTTGGGGTATCGTGAACCTGTCCGGAGCTGACCGACCTGCACAGATTCAGACTCAAGTCCAGAGCCAGAGGGTCTCTCAGCACTGCTGAAAAGGCTCACAAGCCTGCATCCCTTAGCTTTCCTTGCTTGTTGGCTTTCTTCTTTTCTTGCCTCCAATGTTGCGGTTGCCCTCGCTTCCAGTCGTGCGGGTGGACCCTCTGAAAGTTTCTTCACAAAGGGTGACCTGGCTTCTGTTGACTTAAAGCAGTAAAACTAGAAAGAAGGAGGGGGTAAAATATCCAGAAGTACTTACTGGAGGGGTATTTTTTAGGCAACAACTTCATCTTCTTTACGGATTGAATCACAGGTATAAATAAAAACATGCACATAGTTTAAAACATTTGTTTGAATAGTTTTACTGAAGAAATAAATATGTGAGTTAACTTCCTTTTGTTTTCTAGTTAATTTCTTTTCCATACATTTTTTTTTTAAATTCAAGCTGTAAGAAAGCAAAGAATGAAAACAGCCCTGATACCCAAAGAAGCAAATCGCATGCTCCGTGGGAAGAAAATGGCCCCCAGAGGTAAAGGGCGTCATTGTTTTTCTGAAGGAGAATAGTACCACAGGGGTCAGCAATTGCAGTTCTTTAACTAATGGAATCCAGCTGCTTTGTGGCTGGTCATGACCGGTGGTGGACAAAGCAGTCAGATTCCTGAACCAGCATGGCAGAGAACTTAGGGATTGAAATCCAGAAGATACGCCCAAATATGAAACTTCCTCTTGTAAAGACAGAGAGGAAAATGAGGCTACTTAAAAAAAATGTCTGGAAGGTCACTATGATGATTTAGAGCAAAGTAATATAATCCTGAAAACTCCAAATTATATATTAGTGATAATCTCCTCTATTTCATAGTTCTTGTAAAAACTTCAGTTGATGAATAGTGATTCTAGAAGACTTTCTTGGTAGAGACATCAGTTTTTATAGTTTCTTTCTGTGCACATCTACCAAAGCAGTAACAGCCCTGCATTTTAGCATATGGACTTTGTAGTTGGTATGGTGTACAGTTCCAGGTATGACTGCCCGGGAGCTTGGACTCTAGTTCTGCCACTTCCTAGCTACTTTCCTTGGGCCCTTTAATTAAACATTCTGTATTTTCATTTTCTTTTCATTAGATGGGCCTAATAACTGTATTTCAGTGCTTAGGGTTAACAAAGATTAGCTAAGATAATGTTTATGAAGCCTTTAGCCCAGTCTGCGCCTAGTGTGGAATAGGTTTGTCATGAATGCAAACCAGTTTTGTTATTATTGCCATCATTTGTGTGTGTTCATTTCTTACTGTTGAAGGCCAGTAAAGGAAACCTGTCCCTGCAAAATAAGATTTTTATGATTTGATTTACCAGTTTTTACCTCTCTTTTCTTTCAATAACTCCTGTCAGCAAAGAGAACTGTGTACCTAAGATCCAGTACTCCCCAGCAAGTACCAACTGTGTAGTTATGAACACTTCCCCAGATCTGGGTGAGGGTACTGCCCCTCCCGGCCCTCTGCAGGCATTGTTGACCATCTCTCTTCCACTCTAGCGGACTCTACAACTCTCCCAATGAGCGCACAAAATCCCCAAAGTTCCCCTGCACACGCCGCCGAAACCCCTCCTGTGGAAGTGACAATGACTCTGCACAGCCAATGAGGAGAAGGTAAGCTGAATGCAGCTGCCCGGTTTTTAAAATTCCATCGAGGCTCTCGTCCCATCACATTTATTTTGCAGGTTATTCTTATAATATCATTACTGTTTATATCCCCAAAATAACAAAGTTATTATTTTTTAGATAAAATAAGCTGGGAATCCTGAAGCATTTCTCTTAAATAGCCAGAGTTTCAGAGAATAATTTCATAAAATATTGACAGGAACTTGCTTATTATATTATAATTAAGACTGATAAGTTAAAAAGTATATGTTATGTATATATTTTAACAACATATGTAGTTTGTATAATATATACATATACATATACATATATGTATAGAAGGGGGCGTTACCCAAAGACTCAGAAGGTGCCTCCCTCTGCGTGGGCCCTCCTGTCCTGTGCTTGCTGCTGATGTCGCCGTGGGTCCCACTGCAGTCGACATTATTCTTGCTGCCGCTGCTGGGCGCACCACTCCCATACCAACAGCGTGGAGGTCCCCCCACCCCCTGCAAAGAGCCACGGTGGCTGCCGCAGGCGCTGCTAAAAGCAGAAGTGCCCCCCTTCTACCTGTTGAATGCTTCCCTGAGTAGAACCCTGCTGGCACAGAAATCTCAGAGAATGTATTTCTTGGGCTCCCAGTTTTGGGAATACAGGGGGAGATGACAGATGGGGCAGGATGAACTGTGCACCAGTGGACAGCACCTGGCCCAGCAGATCAGGAAACTGAGGCTCGGAGAGAGGATGGTAACTGTCTCTGTGGCACATCTGGGGTTTGGATCTAGGGCCAGACATCTTGAAAAGACAGGGATAATGAGCCATCATTTACATAAGGCAGAGGAAAGATTTTTCTGCCCTCTTTCCGGACAAGGGTCGGTCCACCTGGGCAGAGCTGAAAACCAAGTTAACAGGGGTGAGAAGGACTTCCAAGTGGATCTGTATATATGTGTGTGTGTGTGTGAGAGAGAGAGAGAGAGAGAGAGCACGAGCAGGTATGGGTAGTAGGAATCACTAAATATATTAAGAATTGGACTCTGTATGAGTATTATTAAATAGGCTTTATAGTTTTTCATCCTTAATTATTAGTGTGCTTTGTCAGCATTTCCTAAATAATTACACATATTGAACAGATGATCATTTTCATTTTAATGTATCTGAAAATGATTCACCAAGTTTTGCTAAAATATACCAAAAATTACATTATTTTCTTCCCAAACTCATTGCTTGACATAGTTTGGAGCACATACATCCCCAGATCCAGACTTAATGACTTCTACTTTGAGATCCATTTTATGTTGGCTTCCTGTGAAATACAGACAAGTAATTGTGGTAAGTGGATACAGGATCCTTTCACTGACACTGTCCAGGGAAAGACTGTTTGGATTTATGGGGAAAAGAATCTTTTTGTCTGGGCAGCCAGAGCTTTCTGTCTGGTTGGTGAGTTACCTGAAAGGTTTCTTATTGAGCATGTGTGTTGTAAGGAAACTAGCCATTGCTGCATGTTGGCATAGAATAGCAAAAGCTCATTCTTTGTTTCTTTCCACTATAAATGACCTATAAATGTCCCTGTCCTTGTCAGTCTTGTTTAATCATCACACACATTTACCTTGCCCCTGGGCATGAATGCCTACATAGCTGGATTAATTTCTGACATTTAAAACTGAAATTTGTCATCAGCATGGAAGAATCTCAGGGATGAAATGTAATAATAGGAAATTCTACTTTGCTATGGGTGCCAGAATAACATGTTTTGCAAAGTGTGTCAACATTTCATATTTTGCCAGTTGTTTGTCATTAGATGCCTGTATCTATCAAATTCTGGCAGAGTCTAGCACACTGGTCCTTAACCTTTTTGTGTGACCAAACTATCTGAGAATCTGATGAAATGCTGGATTCATTCCCTAGGGAGGAAAAAGTACATAATTAAATACAGATACAAACTCTCATATGATTTTCAAGGTTTAATGGAACCCTGAAACCTGCTTATTTAAACATTCCTGTTTAGAAACAGAAAGCATGCTTTCTGACAGCACAATTTATTTTCACCCCTGTTCATTTTTACACTCAAAAATACTCATTTAGTGTCTGCTTTATGCTAGGCACTGTGTTAAACTGCACTAGAGAAAGTCCTTGCCCTTTAAGAGCTTACAGTAGGTGGAGTAAGAAAAATAGGATTTTTTAAATGACAGATAGTATAAACAAATGCCTGTGCCATTATGGCTTTAAGTATTCTTGATGGAGTTTGTGGTGCTTAGGATTTAAAAAATCTTTTTTATCGAAAGCTCTCATGCATGTAGAAAAGTATATGTGTCATAAGAATATTGGTTGATAAATTTTTACTATCCAAACACCTGTGTAACAGCACTGCTAGGGGAAGTTTTGTTGAGTCACTGAGTCAAGGAGGTCAGGGAAAGTTTCCTGAGGTTGGATGCTTGAGCTGGAATCTGAGACGGGAGCAGGAAAAGAGAGGAGGGTAAGAAGGGTGAGCACGTGCAGAGGCCTGGGGATGGAAGGGAGCGTTCCTGAAAAGGATTAAAGGCCGGTGTTGCTCAAGCAATGAGAGTGAACAGGAACGTGTAAGAACCCAGAGCGAAAGATGGGGCCTGACGTCACAGGACCCCTGAGCCTTTGAGGGTTTTGGTCATTAGGCCAGAAGATTTTGGAAGGGGCTGATAAGAAGATCACATTTGTATTGTGTCAAGAGGATCCTGCTGTCCTATGGGCAAAAGATCAGAGAAGGTAGTAGTATAAACAGACCAGGCGAAAGCTCTATTAGGAGTGGTCACCAAAGAGAATGAGAGCTTGGGTCAAGGTGGGGATGTGGAGAAAGAAGGAAGTGGATGGTTTTGAGACCATTGGGAGGTAAAATAAAAAAGCTGGAAGGATCAGTATGAACAACAGCTGTCAGGAATGAAATCCACACTTGTACAGTTTTCTGGAGTGAAGTGGATTCACTGAAATAAGAATCACCAGGACATCATGGGCTTGAAAGGAACAGATGTAAGTTTGGTTTCCAAAATGTTGAATTTTTGGTACTTCTGAGAAGTCCAAGTGTAGGATTCAAATGGATTGTTGGATATAAGTCAGGAACTAGATTAGCTCTCTGGACTGAAATACAAATTTCTTAAAGATGTTAATACAACTAGAGATGAGGCTGTACTGGTAGAAAGTATGTAAAGAATGTAAAGACAAAGCCATTGACAGAACTGTGAGAAACTTCATTTATTTGGCTAACTTGAAGAGGACTAGCTTGTGAAAGAAAAATTGTGGCCATAGGAAAAATCAAGAGAATGAAAATCTGCTTACTAAATAGTTCCCTTCTTTCATTCTCAGAATGCTAGAAGCTAAGTTTGTGTCTCCTAGGCATGAGATTAGAGAATGTCACTCTAAGAAATGGAGAAATGGGAGAGAAAAGACCTACACATATCAACTTTCAAAAAGAGTCTCCAGTGAAAGAGTTGGAATGACCCGCATTGCTTTGCTCCACATCAGAGTAAAGACCATCCGGAGGGCTCCAGACTTTTTAGTCTCTGATGGTTAATTATGAAGGGCAAGCCATATTCATCTGCGTTTGAGGATAGCTTCTGTTTGGAAAGACAGAGACTGAAACAATTAGGACTGTGTGGGAACTCACAGGAAATACAGACAATATAAGAAACAAGGATGAATTTCTAAAAAGTATAATTATCTTTAGAAAAATGAAAAACAGTACTGAAAGCAAAGAGTGAATAAGAGACCTTAGACTTTAAATTCATGTGGTAGAATTTAAAATAATCAATAGAGGGTTTGGAGATTAGGCTAAGGAAATCGTTCCCAAAGTAGACAAAAACAAAACAAACATATGGAAATAAGGATAAAAAATTATCAAACCTGGATATCAAACATTTAACTAACAAAATTTCTAAGAAAAAATAAAATGGAAAAGAGGAAACTATTAAAGAAACAGTACAAAAAAACACAAACCCAGAACTGAATGGACTAACTTAATAAATAGAATCCACTGAGCGTTTGACATAACAGATTGAAAAGTCAGATCCATTCCAAGATCCACTATCATTAAATCAAAAGACATTATAGGCTAAGAGAGAATTTTTAAAACTTGGAGGTGGGGGAGGAATATTGAGAGAAAGAAAAGTCCACCAGTGATGACAATCAGAATGTAGCATGGCACTACTTAACAGCCATATTAGAGAAAAAAAAAATAATGAAACATTTTCTAAAAATGCTGAAGGATTGTGGAATTTAGGATTCTATGCCCAGAGAAACTAATTATACGTGTAGAATAAAGACATCTTCAGAAATTCTAGTTCTCAAAAAATGTACCTGCCATGCTATAATTCCCTTCTTTAATAACTGCACGGAACATTCCACTGAAACCAACACAAGAGGCTGTGAGACTTGGAAATATGAGCTCCATCATACAAAGAAGTAAGAGGATTTTTCTGGATCACAGAGAAGGGAGTAATCGAAGTAGTTTCTGTGCCGCAGTACTGGAGAGCAGGTGGGCAGAGGCTCCAGGAGGAAGGCAGGTGAGGTCTGCTGAGCACCTGAGCACCCCTCCATCTCAGGAGGGCTTTTGCAGTGCTGTCAAGGCTGGGGTGAGGAGGCAGTTATCAGTACCAGGAAAGCTAGGCAGCCGAGAGGTACATAGAAAAGTAGGCAATTACCATCTCTAAGAAAATCGTGAAACCTGTACAAGAATGGAATTGCATCCTTGAATGCCATATAGATGATCTGTGTACGATATTCATGTAATTGTGTTTATGCCAAATAGTTATCCAAATATTTGATTTAAGGACAGAAACATATCAATGTGTTGTTATGTATTATAAGTATATTGGAAAAATGGTGGAATGTAAGTTATGTTGATGTTTTTAAAAAGTCAAATCTGCCCTGATCAGAGTGTGAAAGCACATTTAATAAAGGGTAGGAAATGGGCACAAGGGGTTGAGGCACCTCTCTCAAGCAGTTCGTCTTAGAAGGAGAGAGATGGGGTGGGAGATGAAGGGGAGTGTAGAGTCAAGCCGGTATGGATTTTTTAAATAGGAGAGACTTGAGAATGTGAAAATCCGGTGAAAGAATTTTCCATAAAGACAAGTTGGATATACGTGAGAGGTAGGAGGGTAGTTAATGGAAGTCATTGAGAAGGTAAGAGGTGCTGGGGGTGGGGGGCCTCTGACCTTAGTTATAAGGACAGATCTGTAAATAACAGAAAGAAAGATGTTGGTAAAATTTATTTTTGGCAAGGAAGATGAAACAGTTCTATGTGATGGTTACTTTTTCCTTTGGAAGGAGAAAACAAAGTCATGTGCTGAAACAGGTGCAGTGCATCAGAGGGTTGCAGGGTAAAGAGTTTGAAATTGCTTTGCAAAATACTTAGAGAATACTAAGTATTCAGAGAATACTTAGATCAGAGGATGATTGTGGGCTTGTTGGGCCATGTTGTGAGTCCACTTGAGGTTTATAAACAAGGATTTGTAGTGTAACTAATATGCCCTTTTGTGTTAAGTCCCTCTGGCAGGGCTCAGCCAGCAATAATAACAGCTAATGATTACTGAGTGCTTAAAATGGGCCGCGCCCCACTTTATGCATTTTAAATCCTCATAACATTTTATCCTCATAACAACCCTTTGTGGGAAGTTCTATTAAAACCGAGGCACTGAGTAGAGAAGTAATTTATTTAATTCACACCCAACTCACTAGTTGAGGAGATGGGATTCACATTCGGGTTGTCTGGCTCCAGAGCCCACATGTTGACCAGGATATCCCATCAAAGCTGCTTTGAAGGTAAACAGAAGTGGTGAACAGGAAGGGGAGGAGGCTGTGGTCAGAGCAAAGTGCTTGGAGGTGGTTATAGATTATGATAGAGTCCAAAGTGTAACGGTGCAGGGTGTTGTTATCATGAATAAGTTATTAGGGAAGTCAACGGACTTGGAGAGCAGGGTGTTGGGAAGGGTATTCAAATGAGAGCTGACTTAAGGCAGATAATAGCAGAGCTTGGCTCCGTGGACTGCAGACCTAAGAGATGCAGACTAACCCCATCCTTGGATGAATGGAACTTAACAGACATGTTGTGCACTGTTATTTACTGACTCTTTGCAGCTCCACTGGGTTGCTGGCTTTTGAGGCCAGTTGGTGATATATTTCTGGGACCTATTGTAGGGCTGGGCATGTATATATATATATATACATATATACATATATATATGATTTAAATGTTTGGGGAATGAATGGCAATAGAGATGCATTAAGAGAAATCATTTTGGTGTGCTTTCCTTAGCCAATTGATAATTTTCTATTTTCTTTAATGTCTTCATTTTTTTTGTTTTCTACAGGAAAGCCCATAACAGTGGTGAGGACTCAGATCTAAAGCAAAGGAGGAGGTAAAAAAACAAAAATGGAAGTAGGATCAGGGAGGGGGAGGAAGGGTTAGCAGGTGAGCTCTGTTCATATATTCATAGTTGGGGCAAGTGTGGGGACATGTTTTTGTTTGTTTTGTTAGTGTCGGCTTTAAGGCTATTATAAAAATGTTTTCACCTTTCAAATACCAATTTTGGCCTCAACTGGTTATCAGCCTTATTCCATTCTGTAGCTTCCTTAGCACTTTCTCTTTTTTTCTGCTCCTTTGTGTCTCAGAGGAGCTGTCCCAGTTATCTATGGCTACCTTAAGGCCACTCCAAAACTTGGTGGCTTAAAGCAACAACAGTGGTCCATGTCTTGTATGATTCTGTTGATTGACCAGGCAGCTCTTTAACTAGTTTTGCTGGTTGCACCTGAAGCTGCAGTCAGATGGCGCCTGAGGCTGGATTATTCAAGAGGCCTTTCTCTCTTGTCTGGCTTCTTGGCAGAAGGACTGGAGGCCTGGGGCCTGCCTCTCTCCTTCTGCCTCTCCCTCTCCCTCTCGCTCCGCCGCACCCTCCCTCCCTCCCTTCCCTTGGTCTCTCCACTGGCTAGCCTAGGCTTCTTGAGACAGCAGCTGGGTGGCAGCGGGAGCTGTTGACCCTGTTAAGGGATAGCCCTGGGACTGGCAGGGTATCCTTCCTCCTCATTTTATTGACAAAACTAGTCACAGGACCAGTGCAAATTCAAGGGGAGGGGAAATAAAGTCTACCTGCCTTGATGTGGAGTTGGGAGTATGTAAGGCTTTGTGTCCATGTTGAGTCCACCACTGCAGCTTATAGCTCTGCCAGCCGGGTCCTGCTGGAAGCGCTTGATTCTGTGGTCTGTTCCAAAAGCATGCTGATATTTGCCTTCAGTGGCTTCCGTGTTCCGTGTAGATTCATTCAGAGGTCTGATTGAATCGAGAAACACTGGCAGGAGAGAGCATGTAGCTACTCATGTTTGGATTAGTAATTTTACTGCAAACTTAATTCCAAAGAATCAACCTGTACCTTTCTGAAATTTTTTATTTGTCATAAACATGGGTTTTTGTCTTTTCCTCTTCCCATTTTTCTTCAGGTCACGCTCACGCTGTAACACAAGCAGTGGTAGTGAATCAGAAAATTCTAATAGAGAACATCGGAAAAAGAGAAACAGGTAATATTGGAACAGTGGAGTTAACTAGAACTCTGAAATCAGAGGCTGCTCGTGGTGGTAGATGGTGTGTGTCCTGTGTATTTTCTCATCTGTGTTTAAGAAGGAATCTGGCACTATTTTGAAAAACTGTTTTAGGAAACCATAGCTCTTTGAACTGAGTTTCTCATCTTAAAAGTAAGATGATTAAACAACTTGACCTTGAGGTCCCCTCATGTTAATTTTAAAAAAAATCTATATTTAGATACAATAAATAATGACTTTCTCTAAGGGTGGTAAGAAATTTTACTGTTTATAGGAGGATTTCTCCCTAAAGTATCTTTTAACATGGCATTACTATGTTCTGCCCTACCAAAAACAAGACTCATTGTCATAGATTTTATAGTTTTAACCTCAGTACATGCAAATATGTGCTTATATTCAGGTCAGGCACACACAGTTAGATGGGTAGATGCAGTTAGTTCATATCTTTAAGTCTCATTTTTAAGAGCTTGTTAATACTGTCATTTGACATGTAATCAGTGTAAGTGATGGCTTAATGCATTAATCAGTTCTCCCTAGTCCCAAAATGTTTATTTGAAAACAAGTGTTCGTGTAGTGAAAGAGCACCAGGTCAGGAGTGAGAAGGACTCAGTGGCTGGTTGTGCCTGTGTCTAACCAGGTGATTCTCAACTGGGGGGCAATACCCGGTCCCTGAGGGCATTTGGCAATGTTCTGAGACACTTGTGATTGTCACTGTTGTGTTGGGGGATGGCTACTGGCCAAGGATGCTGCTAAACACCCTACAGTCACAGAACAGCCCCCTTCCTGTCCTTCCTAAAGAAGTATATGGTCCAAAAAGTGTCAGCAGTGCAACTGCTGGGAAAACTGTTCTCCCCTGATATGGAACTCAGTCCTGCTTGCTTTACTGGGTTGTCTTTTTCTCTTCTGGAAAATGAGGAAGTTGGGCAAGAGAATCTCCAGAGTCCTTCTTTAGTGCTCAGAGCTCCTGTGGTGGCACCAACTGAATTGGCCTCCCTCTTTAACTACAAGCCTGGGTAGTAATAGCCCAGAGAGCATTGTAAAGGTGGACCATTTTCTTTTTTTTAAGTAATTAATTAATTTTTAAAAATTTGGTATCATTAATATACAATCACATGAGCAACATTGTAGTTACTAGATTCCCCCTGTTATCAAGTCCCCCCCACATACCCCATTACAGTCACTGTCCATCAGGGTAGTAAGATGCTATAGAGTCACTACTTGTCTTCTCTGTGCTGCACTGCCTTCTCCATGCCCCCTCCCCACATTATGTGTGCTAATCCTAATGCCCCTTATTCCCCTTCTCCCTCCCTTCACCCCCACCCTCACCAGTCCCTTTCCCTTTGGTAACTGTTAGTCCATTCTTGGGTTCTGTACATTTGCTGCTGTTTTGTTCCTTCAGTTTTTGCTTTGTTCTTATACTCCACAGATGAGTGAAATCATTTGGTACTTCTCTTTCTCTGCCTGGCTTATTTCACTGACCATAATACCCTCTAGCTCCATCCATGTTGTTGCAAGTGGTAGGATTTGTTTTCTTCTTATGGCTGAATAATATTCCATGGTGTATATGTACGACATCTTCTTTATCCATTCATCTACTGATGGACACTTAGGTTGCTTCCATTTCTTGGAATTTCTGTGATAAACATAGGGGTGCATATGTCTTTTTGAAACTGGGCTCCTGCATTCTTAGGGTGAATTCCTAGAAATGGAATTCCTGGGTCAAATGGTATTCCTATTTTTAGTTTTTTGGGGAACCTCCGTACTGCTTTCCACAATGGTTGAACTAGTTTACATTCCCAGGGGTGGACCATTTTCTCAGGAAAGCTTTTTATGTGGAACCTTCCTGGAGTCACACTAGATAGAGGTGAGATCTCAATGTGTTATGACATCTTTCTCGAGGAAATTAGTTGTTTCTTTGTCTGTAAAAGCCCAAATATAGAGGGCAGCTCTCCCTCAGGTACCCTCTTCCTGCTCTAAAATTCAGGATCTGCACAAACAACACAAAAACAAAGCAAAAAAACCCAAAAAAACACAAAAAACAAAAACTACCCGACAATTTTCCCCCCTATTTGTACTCACTAACCAAGCCAGTATCTTAACAAATGTATTTCTGTTTTGCTTGGCATATTCTCAATTGTGTTCATAGATGCTCTGATATCAATTTCTCAGAAGGTAGCCTGTTTAAAAACAGTGTCTTTGGGGATCAGAATGCTCTTGGTGACATTTACTGTTAAGAATGAAACACTATTTAAAGGTTGCCAACCTCTCATTAGTAATGTAGTTGCACCAGCTTCAATATTCCTTGTAGGTGCTTTTTCCCTCTTGAGTTTCTCTCCTAGTCCCCCATGAACAATTTTTTAGATTAGCTTTCTTTGTACTGCATAAGTAGCAAATTTTAGAATACTGGTGATTCTGATGTTTAAATGCTAGTATGCTTTGTAAGGCTATCGGTGAGAGACCACTTTCAAAACACACTCTGACACAAAGGCTTTCAAACTCATTTGTTTTACCTGCAGAAATACTGCCCTAGGGTTACATAAGTTGCTTAGGTCTGTAGATGATGTCTAGAGTCTAGCTCACAGGGGCGCAGCAAAGAGTGAGCAGAGGAACAAATACAACTTCCAGCCCAATCCCCTCTCCTGAAAATTCTGGCTCAGCAGGTGGCAGTGTGCAAGGAATGAGGGCGCAGACACATTACACTGCCTCTGGGTGCCACTTACCCATTACGCTCTGCTACCACTAGCCCTTCTGTTCCATTGTTAGCCATTTAAATTTTGCCAGAACCCATTCGTTCCACATCAGGATGCATAAGTGTGAACGTTTAAACTGCGGTTATGCTAATGGTCCCAGATGTCTTCTGTCCGTGATGAAGGAGGTCTCCTGGCGTCCGACTTCTTGCTTGTGGGGAATGACTCTCTTCAGCCTCATCTGTCCTTGCTTATATCGGCTGACAGTGTGACCCAGCCAGCTCTAAGCAATGTCCTCTGTGTGTTTTTTAAAGGACTCTGGTAACCCTAGAGCAGGGCACATTGCATCTTGAACATGCAGACGTTCTACTTCCTGCCAATAATGTCTCTAAATGCAGCCCCAGATACTTCATCACTTTGAAACTAGAGCCTGCACCCAGCAAACCCTGCTTTCCTGTCTTCCTGTGGAAACTGGACCTGGGGCAGAGGGGCAGAGGTGCAGATTTGCTTTTCAAACACTATTTTGAAGGCCATGTGCAGTGGAACACTGGGCAATCAGATTTGCTGGCCAAAGGTGGTGTGGGGCCTCTGGGTTGTTACCCCTTGCCACTCTCTGCTCATTTCTTGTGATGTAAGGAAGTCTTTCATGTAGGTTTGAGGCAACTCTGAAAATGCAGTTTTTTGCACAAAGTGTGCCTCTGTGTTAACTGTAGGGTTTCATTCCATATGGTTTCCTGCAACATCAGAGGGCTCAGCCTCCTTTCTTTAGGGAATTATTTATTCTTCCTTTACTGCTTTCCATTTTAGTTGTACTTTCTTTACTGTTTTCATAATCTGGATGAATATCCTACAGTGTTCTAGGTTTTGAGATTTGAGGAGATAGTTTTTTATTCTCTTTTTATAAGTAGCTGGGAGTTGGAGCAGTTGCTTGTTATGACATTATTTTCTCCTTCATGTGTCTACTATGTTCTCATCTTCATCTGTTCTCTTGCCTCCCTTCTTAATCTTTCTATTACATTAATTTTCCCCACCAAGTTCTTTTCTTTTTCTTTTCTTAGCTTCTTTCCCACTCTTTCTTCCTTCTTTGAATTTTGTCTCCACTTAGGAGCCAATAATGTGTTAAAAACCCCCGAAGATGTGAGTGAGGGTCTTCGTTCTGCCAGTTGCTGGTATTTGACCTTGAAGAATTCTTTTAACCAATTTAGATCTCAGTCTTCTCATCTTTAAAGTGGGTTGCACAGTGATCTTTTGTTGAGCGGGTTACTGGAAAGATAGATGAATTCAAAGAAGGAGAGCCCTGTAGAGTATAGAGCCACGCAGTTTGGACTCTAATTTTGGAATGGTCTTCCATTCTCCCACCTTACCTACCTTTACACATTTGGTCATTTTTTAGGCCAGGCATTCCTATCCTGATTCATGGGTAGGTTTTAGGGGTCTCATAACCCCATGAAATTCTATGTAAAATTCTGTGTTTCCAACTGTACAATTTTCTGGTGATAGGGTCTGTAGCTTTTATCACATTCCTAAAGGAGTGTCTGTGTGACCCCTAAAAGTTATGAAATAGTCATTATGATCTAAATAGCAAAGAATAGATTGATACTGGGAAATTAAATTGGTATTTCAATTCACCGGCAGGATTAAAATGCTTTAAGTTTTCTTTAGAGACTACTTTGCTATACTTATTTGTGAAACAATTGGTTCAATTAAATTCATCAAATTGGGAACCTAGCAGGTACAAGGTAGTATAAAGTTAGCGCTCTATGTGAATATTAGGTTGTGTTAGTTTTTACTAGTGAGAATTTTGAATCTTTTATCTGAGCTTGGGAGGGTCTGCCAGCTTGTGTCTGTAGGTTTAGGTCTGTGGGCTGTGCTTAGGGCTTGCCCAGGGCATGTGTTAATGGGGAGCCTAGAAAGTAGACCATTAGAGTGAAACCTTCACAGATCAGCTTTCCTTGAAAATACCTTGAGCTTAATAAAATACCCTTCACATTCAAAGAACCGGGTCTGCAAAATATTCTTTGTGCTATTGATGAAAATCAGCAGTCCTTTGAGCATTCACTAGGGAGAATCTGTGGATTTCTCAGTCATTAGCTTTGATGTGTTGCTAGGCTTTTAGGATTTTGAAGTGGGAGATTTGGAGGGGGTGGGGGCAGGGACACAGAGAAGAAGTCTGGAGTATTTTGCATAAACATAAAAGTGGAAGTAACTCTGGAGCCTGGTGAGGATTAAAAGAGTAAGAGCAATGAGAGAAGCTTGGGATAAGAGCAGGACTAGAGTGAATTGGCAACAGGG